TTTTTTTTTTTTTTTTTTTTTTTTTTTTTTTTTTTTTTTTTTTTTATGGTCTGTTCAGGCAAAATTTATTTCGCAACCTTTTTAGCTAACTGAAGAAAAGCCCTTCGCACGGGCGTGCACAGCACTGGCGGTGATTTTGTCGCTGCAAGGGAGAGTGCGGCCATGCTTAATATATTATACATGATTGATGGCTCCCTTTTTTTTTTTGTTCTCTCCTAACAAATTCGCACATGCAGCGTAGAAATACGAATTGGGGGAAACTGTGTCCATGTCGCCATATAAGCAAATGATTGGCAGAGGTTGCGCAAAAATAAAAAACCAAATTCCAAATTAGGCAACACGGGGAAAGAGGCTACATAGTTTATTGCTATATGTTGCAAAAATAAGTATCCTCTTTTGGGACATTTTTCTCAAGAGGGCACAGCTCACGTTGTTATAAGTGCTCATTATATTCTATCAAAACGATTTTTTTTCTTTCATTTTTTTTTTTTTGTAAGCAGAACGCACATTTTTTTCTTTTTTTTCCCGAGATTGCCCCATAAAGGGGAAAAGAAGAACGAGATCAAGCGAGCCTCTACACCCAAGAACCACTAATTTGCGGATGCCTCATGATGAAAAAATTATAACAGAAAAGTATATTTGATATGTGGATTTCATTGAGTGTACCCTCTTCTTGTTCTTCCAATCCGGTCGACCTCCGCGGAAGGGAAGGAAAAAGGGTTTCACGCGCTCGATGTATATGGTCTTATGGCTATACCGGTTTATGATCATATTAAAATCACACACTCACATGTCATCAAGTGCGTTCGCACCCTTCTCCCCGCAAGCCAAGCTAAAATAAAAAAAATAAAACAAATAACAAGGCAAAACAAAACAGAACAGAACAAAATACCAAATGACCGCGCACACATAACATGCTATTTTTAATTAAGAACCTTATTGGATGCACACTTCTCCTGATAGTGCTCAATACACATCTGCATGGGATATCGTACAAATGGCAGAATGGGATAAAGGGGGGTAGAGTCCTCAACGGAATAAAGACACACGGTTGTGTCCATCCGAACAGAAATAATTGGTCATACAGCAGGAACAAATATTATAAGCCAAAAAGTTACCTGTACATTCAGAATAATAAAAGAAGGAAAGGCCAATCATACAAGCTCAACAGGTATAAGGTCTGCTCGATTTTTTCAATCTTTGATAAGAGCAATGCGGGGAAAAAGAACAAGGGGGGGGAGCCAACAAGTGCACAAGTGCCACATAGAGGGGTGGCACCCGCTGGAGGAATGACACCAGAGGGGAAGGTATCAACCGGAAAAGCAACACCGGGGAAGGTGCCCCCGCTGAACATTCCCGACGGATCCGAATCGGAGGGATCCATCGAGCTTAGCAATCTGGAGAGCAACCCCAAAGAGGCGCTCAAAAACGTGATTGAATACAAAAAGCATTTAGAAAACTTCAAAGGTAAAGTCATTTTATCGCTTCAAACCATCTTCTGTTCATATACAAAGGGCATAGATCAGAAGGAAAACTTGAAAAATTTTGTCCTTCACATATTAAGCGACTTTGAGAACAAGTACGAAAAACACACACACCTAGCGGATGTGCAAAATATGCGCAACGAAAAAGTGAAAGAACAATATCTTCAGCACAATTACAATTGCTTCCTCGATATCGTTAAAAATATTGAGGAGAATTTGTACAATCTTTTATTGTATAAAATTCAATCCATTAAATTGAAGGCATTGGACGACATTAAAGAAACGGTCCTCTCGCACAGGGAAAGCAACGCAGATTACGTTTCCTTCGTTAATCATGTTAAACAAACATTCGAAGCGTATGAAAAGAAGCTACAAAATTTATTTCCCTCAAGTTTTAAATTTTCCTTGTATAATAAAATGAGCAAAGACAGTGGTTTTGAAGAAGAGCACGCCTCCAGCCTCCCCAATTTTGTGTACAATTTTCCGATGGAAAAATATGAACAGTTAATACAAAAAAATATAAATTATGTAAAAAAATTATCACAGGATTTGACAAAAAAAAAAAAAAAAAAAACACACAAAAGAGTTTTTTATTTGTTTTTCTCCCAAGGCGTGTTTTATCCTTGCATTACATACAAAGCATAATATACCTCTGCTGAATTATATATAAGTGTCACTAGGAAAATATTAAAAACTAGAAACATATAAAAAAAACAAACAAGTAAATTTATATATGCATACACTATAATTATACTGCTGCTATTTTTAAACTTACACGCCTTTTTAAATTTCCTTAGCGGAAAAAAAAAAAAAAAAAAATAAAAAAATAAAACGAACAAGGATTTTTTTTTCCATTCTTTTTTAGTACTTAAAAAAAAAATAAAATAATTCCAAAGCGCCATGTACAAATATAATACATATATATGCAATTGCTGCGTATGCGCAATGTATGAATTATTATACGCGCCAAAGTATCATGTATCCGCTGTACGTGTATGTACAAAATAATATGGCAAGTAGAAATAATCAGATGATCGAGCAATAGAAAAAATGGGATGCCGGCCATACATATTCATATTTATATTTATAATAACACACTGGATGTTAAATATAAAGCTCCTCTTCTTAATAAATATGTGCGTGAAAATTATTTTTTTTTTCTTTCCTGGGGGGGTAGGAGGTGTTGTAGCGCCACTTGTGACTTTGCAAAATATGGGATTTACAAAATTTTAAAATAATTGTATATGGGGAGTGCTTGTTGCGGCGAAGTTGTAGAAAAAAATCTGCTGCGAGGAGAACCTCTTCTTAACCTTGAGCGCCGAGAGTTGGGCCTGGTGCGCTAGCGGGTAAACCCTAGCAGGTGCACCAAAGTGTAACAATACGCGGTAGGGGCGGCTTATAAGGCACGCCTTCTTCTGCCATGCTGAGCCGCGCATCTTCTTTTTAACCCCTACTTGCCCCACGCAGCGTGCATTTATTCCGCACTTGAAATTTGCATATGCGTCGCGCGGCAGGTTTTCCCCAGCTGTGCTATTTTGCTTACCTATACTTAAACGGACGAAACAGTGCTGGAAAAGAAGAAAAAAAAAATAAATAAATATAAAAACAATTATGCCCTTCATTTCGCGCTTCCCGGGGAATTTCCCCTTCGCCGTTCTCGCTTAACAACTTGGATCAGGATCGCCCTTTTTTTTTTTTTTTTTTTACAATAAACTCCATTTCGAAATGGCCGCGGTGCGGCGAAAAAACGAAAAAGAGAGGTGTACCGTGGTCATCCCGCGATGGATTTAAAACCCTGCACAGTATCTTGACACAGGGACAAGCGCGCAAGGGTGACATGTGAACCAAAAAAAAAAAAAAATGCATTTCCTTTTTATGGCCCCAGGTAATAGCTAATGTATTTAGTTCTTCCTCGCGCTGATTAAGAGGAGAATACCAAATCTACACACTCATATTGCTGAGCAGGTTTATATATGTATTGTTATATATTTATACATTATGCTTGTGCTTCGAATTTATGTGGTTAGCACTCCTCGTATGCTTAACCCAACGTGAAGTTAAATCTACATGTACACCATTTTTACACAAAAAAAAAAAAAAAAAAAAGAGCACATGACGAGGTTAAAACAAAAAAATAGTAAAAATATAAAAAGGGGGTTCATTTTGAATATTAACACATCATATAATAACAGAACTTGCAAGCAGCTTTAATTAGGTACCTCGGTAAAATTGGTTCATTCTTCAGAAAAAAGGAAAAGGTTCCCCCTTTTTTACGTTAAATTTAATGTTCGGATGTACCATGGGTAAGGGGCGGGCAAGGCAAACCGCTTTTTTTTTTTTTCAAAGCGCATTTGAAAATGTCACTTGCATGTATACACTAGGTGGTTGTCGTGGTGAAGGGGAAAGGAATGCACACCGGTAAGGTGATTGACAACTCGCTTCTTCCCTCTCACGGATGAAACAAGTACCATCACGAGGATGAGGTGGACAAGGAAGAGGAGAGCCTATTCAACCATCTCGATCTACACGTTGCTTCTTCTTCTTTCATACTAAGTCTGTTATGTTCTTTTCAATCTCAAGGGGGTAAGTTCTTGGTGAAAAATAACTGACTACGTTTCCGCTCTTATCAACTAAAAATTTTCCAAAGTTCCAGCCGATGTTTTCTAGCTGTCCATTTCCATTGTGCATCTAGTGGGGGGGGGGGGGGGGGGTATAAACAAATAAAAAGAGGTACATATTCATGTGCATATTAACGTATACATGGTATTTGCAGCATCAGCCATTTGAACCAAATGGCAGTGCCCTATTTTTCCTCTCATTGGGGGAGACGACAAATATGTATAACAGGGGGCTAGAAGCCTTTCGCGTTTGCTACACATAAAAATGTGATCATCCTTAGGATTGAACATGCCACCAAGTGGATGGCAGATTTAGTAAAAATCACCTACCGTGTCACAGTTGGCCTTCAAAAATTTGAACAGCTCATGTGTGTTTTCTCCATTGACTTCAATAGGGGCGAAAAAGTTATACTTGACTTTGTTTTTCTCGTTAAATGTGGAAATGTCGCACGTGTTGGGAAATTCCTGGTTTAGGAATTGGCTCGTCGGGAAGGCCAAAATCTGAAAAAGGGGGACGGACACGGATACGGATAAATATATACATATATATATATATATATATATTTAACGAAGGGGACAATAACAATGGGGGTACAAAAAGGGATAAAATGGGAAAAACCCATTGCTACAGTGAACAGCTTTCAAGCACATAATGCGGGCGCATTCGGAAGGGGAGGACTCATCACAGCAGGTGAACAAAAAGCCCCCTTTTCCATTTGGTCCAAATCACGAACCTCTAATCCCTTCTGGTTCCATCGATCGTGCAGCTCGTTAAGCTGATCTACATGCTTCCGCGTTAAGCCGCACTTGGATGCCGAGTTAACAATCAGCAAAACCTTGTTCTTGTAAGTAGACATTGACACAGATGTTCCATCGAGCTTCTTCACACTGTAATCATAAATAGACGGAAGCAACTGCTCTTTCGAAACGGTTATTTTTTTGAAGAAAAACATGTTGGCGGTGTTTCTTTGTAAAATGAGAAACACGACGAACAGCTTTACAAATAGTAACAGTTGCATAGGTGAACAAGGTTCATAAAAAATGCTTTTGTTTTTTTTTTATAGCCAATTTTTTCTTCAGCGCAAGGGAATTAATTCTTGTTTTCTGTTTTTTTTTTTTTAGGTATAAGCTATAAGCGGCGGGGACAAAAAGAAGCCTCTTCTTCACATGGTGTCATATTTTGCTCAATTTATGCTTTTCCGCTTTACAGCTATTTTGCTTTTTTACTACTATTATGGCTTAATTTTTTTTTTTTTTTTTTTTTTTTTTTTTTTTTTTTTTTTTTT